TCCTTCTAGTTGCTGTATGTGGGACCCGGCCCCAGGATGAATGGAGAAGTGGTGCCTCGATGCGCACCCGGGATCCGAACCCGGGCCACCAGCATTGCAGCGCGCGCACTCAACCACCAAGCCACAGGGCCGGCCCTGCCTCTTCCTTTTGATCCTGGTTTCATTTGCCTTGTAGAAGCTCTTTAATCTGACGAAGTCCCACTTGTTTATTTTTTCTTTTGTTTCCCTTGTCTGAGTAGACATGGAATTCGAGAAGATCCCTTTATGGCCGATGACAAGTAGTGTAGTACCTGTATTTTCCTCCAGCAGTTTTATAGTTTCAGGTCTCACCTTCGGGTCTTTGATCCATTTTGAGTTAATTTTTGTGTATGGCGATAGCAGATGGTCTACTTTCATTCTTTTGCATGTGGCTGTCTGGTTTTCCCAGCACCATTTATTGAAGAGACTTTCCTTTCTCCATTGTATGTTCTTAGCTCCTTTATCAAAGATTAGCTGCCCGTGGTCAAAATGTTTTTTTTTTTTAAAGCACTCCTGTAATTGACGAAATGTGATAATACCATGTGTGGCCCCTTAGAACCCAGCTCAGCCCTTAAAGAGTGTCTCTAGGGCCGGCCCCATGACCTAGTGGTTACGTTTGGCACGCTCTGCTTCAGCAGCCCAGGTTCAGTTCCCAGGTGTGGACCTACACCACTCGTCAGTGGCCATGCCATGGTGGCGGCTCACATACAAAAAGAGGAAGATTGGCAGCAGATGTTAGCTCAGGGTGAATCTTCCTCAGCAAAAAGAAAAAAGAAAGTGTCTCTAAACGTTACTGATTATTACTGTGACAACGTGAGCAGCAGAGAACTAAGATATTGAATAGCGTTTCGGTTTTCTCCATTTCTAATTGTTACCCCCCAGTCCCTTGCACTGTCTATCTTAACCATCTCATCATTTCTGCCCCCAAATCCTTGACCTCCTCAAGCACTGTGTGGAGTTTCCCCTGAAGGGGAGCTGCTCCAGTAGGGCCCAGCCCCCACCAGGCCTGTGGCGTGGAGCCCGCAGATCTCCAGCACAGAGAATTCCAGCTCCTCTTGGCAAACACGGCTGACGCCTGCGAGCCTGGGTGGCCAGGCTCGGCCGCTGACGAAGGGAGCTCTCCCTGACCACCTGGGGTGGCAGGGGGCACGCACAGGGTCCCAGATTCCAGAAAGCTCTTTGTCCACATGAAGCAGACGGTGCACAGACTGGATGTCCTCCCCTGAGACACACAAAGGCCCAGCTTAATGGCACACCTGGAGTGGGGACCTCGGATGGTGGGCAGACCAGGGCCCAGGTGGGAAAAGGCACGGGCAAGGACAGACAACAGAGCGGCGAGCGGTGCCAGGCCAGGATGGAGAGTCCGGCCCCCCACCGCCAGCCTGAGAAGGGAGAAGACACAGCACACACAGGCACCAGCCTCTGGGGCCTGGAGTCCAAGCTGTGCTCGCAGAGCATCCTCACCAATTGTCATGGGTTCAACTGCGTCCCCCCAAATTCATGTCAATGTCCTAACCTCTAGTACCCCAGACTGGGACCTTATTTGGAAACATTGTTGTTGCAGAAGCAATTGTTAAGATGAGGTCACTGGATGGAGAGGCTGGGCCCCTGAACCAACGTGATTAGTGTCCTTAGAAGAAGGGGCAATTTGGACGCACACGCAGGGAGAACGCTGTGTGAAGATGGAGGCAGAGACCAGGAACCCCAAAGGTTGCCGGCAGACCACCAGAGGCCCTCAGAAGGAGCCAACCCTGCCGACACCTTGGTCTTGGACTTTTAGTGGACAGACTGTGAGACGATGCATTTCTGCTGTTTGTGCTGCGTCAGAGCAGCCACTGCAAACGATACATCAGCACACGGGGGCGCTGAGAAATCTGCAGATGAGCAGCGGTCAGCAGAGACGCGTGATCACGAGTTCACAGCCACAACTGCACGTCCAGGGAAGATGCAGTCCTGTCTCTAGTTCTAGAAGGGGAGAGATCCAGGCGCAAAGCACAAAAGCCGAGGGACGAGAGCTGGTCTGAAAGATGCCCCCAAACCCCTCTGCCCGGGGAAAGAAGCTGCCAGGGGCTTTTCAACGACCTGCATTCTACTCTCAGGATGGAGCTGATGGGTGAAGAAGGTACAAGCACGTGCCCCAACACGGAGCAAGGACCAAGCCGTGCGGGGGTGGAGGAAGCCAGAGACAGAACAACCCATCATGTGTTGCAGAAACGACAAGCTTTTCTATCGCTGGCTTCCTGTGAGCCACACACCGCTGTGCCCGTGTGTGCCCCGCGGGAGCGCACCCCGACCCCCATCCGCCGGGCCTGAGAACGCCCGTCTGGGGACCGTGTGAGTGCCATCCATTCAAATTCAAGTGCACGCACCCCTCGACCTGGCATGCAGGTCTGGCCTGCAGGAGTCCTCGCTTGTGCACTCAGCGACGAATTCCAGAAGCATCCGTTGAAGCAGAACATGCGCGGATGTCCCCGTGGGTGTCGGGTCACGAGGAACCTGTGTGCTACGCCAGGCGGCCACGGGAAATGGAAGGCTCTGGGTGATGCTTTAATAAGGGCATGAGAGCAGAACTGGGGACAGTCTGATGTCACTGTTCTCGTTCTCCTGTGAGGCGAGAGCCTGGAGACAGCAGCTGGGTGCAGATGAGGGAAGGAGGGGGGCTTTCACAGTCGACCCCTTTATGCCACTTGAAGGGCACTGTTTTTGTGATAAAGGCCGCGCAGGAGGTCACGCAGCCAGCCACTCGAGGGGAAGGCAGGAGAGGCCCTCCGCCTGTCGGTGAGTCGCTGCAGAGGGCAGCGGCGCCCTCTGTGATGGCAGACTACCTGCGCAGGGCCCGCAGGGCGCTGGTGCAAACGACACGGCCGTGCTGAACCCTGGGGGACGGGGCCGTGCGGAGGGTCCCGGGCCCACTGCTGCCAAGGGCCTCATGAGCAGCGTTTCCCAAGCTTCCCCAACGGCCACGCGAGACGAGAGCTGCCGCACTCATTTCAGGGGAGGAAGACAAGGCTCAGAGAGGTGCGGTCACCTGGCCGCGGGCGCCCAGCGGGCCTCGGTTTACCCCAGCACACGCTGGACCAAGGCGCCCCTGAAGTGTGCGAAGGGCCAGTGGCTGCTCTGGACAGCTACTCCGGACGCAGTGGAGGTGGTCTGAGCACAAGGGCAGTCTCAGTCCCGGTCCCACCGCCAGGCACGGCCGCATGGCAGAGAGGGCGCAGGGCCGGCAGGGTCACGATGGTCACAGGGGACAGTGGGAGGGTGTCACGCGGCACCATCAGCCCTATGAGCTGCCAGGGAGTGTCCGGATCCCAGTCCAGCCCAGGGTCCCTTGCAGGCCAGAAACCAGGGATGCAGAGGCAGAAGGAGCCCCGAGTGAGAACCTGGGATCATGGGGCACCCCCGCTCCCCACCACACAGCTGGGCGGCTGCAGTAAGTCCCCCCACGGCTCAGAGCTGGGCCAGCGAGCACCGACTCAAGAGTCAGGATGAGGATTCCAAGAGACAAGAAGCTCCCGCCTCGGCCCCCCACGTCTGTCCTCACAGCAGCCAGAGGGCGCCAGTGAGCACTCGAGTCAGGCCAGGTCCCTCATCTGCTCAGAACCCCCAATGGCTCCCACCTCACTCAGAGCAAAACCAAAGTCCGCCCCCCTCCAGTGGTCCACAAGGCCCTGAACACTCTGCCCTGTCCCCTCCCTGCCCTCTCTCTTCCCTCTCGCCCCTCGTTCACTCCACTCCAGCCACCTCTTCCAACACGACAGACATAGTCCTGCCACAGGGCCTTTGCACTGGCTGGGCCCCATCCCCCAGGATTCTGCATGGCTCCTCCCTCCTCTCTTCAGGTCTCTGTCTGACTTGCACCATCTCAGAGAGACCTTCCTGATCACTCTATTTTTTTTTTTTTTTTTTTTAAAGATTTTATTTATTCATTTTTTTCCCCCCCAAAGCCCCAGTAGATAGTTGTATGTCATAGGTTCACATCCTTCTAGTTGCTGTACGTGGGACTCGGTCTCGCGTTGGACGGAGAAGTGGTGCCTCGGGGCACGCCCGGGATCCGAACCCGGGCCACCAGCATCAGAGCGCGCGCACTTAACCGCTAAGCCACGGAGCCGGCCCCTGATCACTCTATTTTAAATGGCACCTCCACGCCCACCCTGGCACTCTCTAGCTCCATCTCCACAGTCATTCACTCATTCGTTCGGGGAGGAAGATCAGCCCTGAGCTAACATCCACTGCGAATCCTCCTCTTTTTTGCTGAGGAAGATTGGCCCTGAGCTAACATCTGTGCCCACCTTCCTCTATTTTGTACGTGGGACGCTGCCACAGCATGGCTTGACAAGCGGTGCGTTGGTGCACGCTCAGTATCTGAACCTGCAAACCCTGGGCAGCCAAGTGGAGCGCGTGAACTTAACTCCATCACCAGCCGGCCCCCACCTCCACTTGAATATTTCACCATTGAACACACTCTACCAGTTCTTCTGTACTTCCTGACGTCCCCCCCGCCGGTCTCCCCTCCCCGAGCACACGGGGCAGGGATGGTCGGCTGCCCCGCTCCCTGCGGAAGCCCCAGTGCTCGGGACAGGCCTGGCCCACAGGAGGCTCTGGACAGTGTTTGTGGGATGAACGGGCGATGGGGGGTGAGCGCCCGGCGGCCGGGGGACACGTACTGCAGCAGGGCTTTGGTTTTGCGCGTGGGGTCGTCGGGCCGGAAGTTCTTGTACTCGTCCACCTCCTTCTCCAGGGACAGCAGCTGGCTCTGCAGCTTGCTCCGCAGTGTCGGCAGCGACTCCCGGATGTGGTTGGTCAGTTGCTGCGGGAGAGAGGTCAGAGGTCAGAGGTCAGCGTGGGGAAGGGGCTGGCCCGCTCTGCCCACCGAGGGCGCACGCTCGCCACCATGCCCCCAAGCCCAGCACACCCTTGGCCTCGAGAGAAAGCGACAGAAATATCCCGCTAGAGCCACACGGGCGCACGGGGCAGGGAGAGGCGGCACAGCGCTGCCCACAGCGGGACGTGCGAACAGCCCGCGGGGCCTCTGCAGGGCAGACCCGTCGGGGTCCCCACGCCACGGAGCACACGTCACGGTGGGCAACGACCAGGCAGCGGGACCCCACTGCCGACCCGGAACAGCCTCCCACAGTGCCACTCAGGAAACGGCGCAGGAAGCCACTGCAGGACACACGGACTGACCAACTGACCGACAGGCAATCGTCTATTCAGACCGCAGAACACTGGACGGACAGATGTACAGACACGAGGACGGGCCCTACCAAGTAGACAGACCCCGCTCCCCAGCCAAGGTACGGAGCCCACACGGGCCGTGCCCCCTTCTGTGGGCGACGGGGAGAGCGCAGAACATACTGTCACCTGCACCATCAGGGAGAAGGGAGAGCCGCGAGAAACCAACGCGGGCTGAAAGGGCAGGACGGAGCAGCGGGCGGGAGGGAGACCTTTCGCCACAGCCCCCTTTCCTCCACGGGGCTGCTTCTCCCCCTTGTGGGTGTGTCAACCATTCACAAAGCTGAAAAGGAGGCAGCACTGCAGAGGTTAGGGAAGGAGCCTCCAGATGGGTCATTAGAGAAAATGCCAAATATAGAGCAGTGGGTACATACACCACTGTCACGGTGCGGAAAAGAAGGAAGAAAAGGAAAGGAAAAGAAAAGCAAGATGGGAGGGAGGGAGGAGGGAACGAGCAGGGAGAGAGAGGTGGGAGGGAGGAGTAAGGAGGGGGCGGGTGGGGGTGAGGGAGGAAGAAGATAGAGACGGCATCGCCCTCTCCGGGCCCTGAGTGTCCCCAGAAGCAGCTCAGGAAGTGGTGACACTGGCCGCCTCTGGGGAAGGGACCCGTCACAGGATGGGAGGACACGGAACACTGGCTATATTTGGGCTGTCTGACTTTGTTTTTACTACGATAAAAGAGAGAGAAAGACAGAGAGAAGGCACAAGACGAAAGCCATAAAAGCAGTGAACGCCCCCGAAGTGAGAAGCAGGGTCTCGTTGCTGCCTGTCCCACCACAGAAAAGAAGCTATGGAATATTCCTCAAGCTGGAAGAGAGGTGTGGAGGAGCCTCACACTCCCTGCTATGAACCTGATGGTCACCCCAAAGTCCTCTGTGATCCCCGTGGCCCGCCCACGGCCCCTCTCTGCGGGGGCTGCGGGGTTAGGGCGGGGAGCTCTAGAGCCGCCCCATTTCGCTCACGGGAAACGGGGGCGGGGGACCAGGGCTCCAGGGGGCACCAGGAGGGGAGCCCGCTGGGCGCTGGCTCTCAGAGGAGGCCCGGGCACCTGCCAGGGAGCGTTACTTCCTTCCCCTCCCCCGCCCCCGGCCCAGGGGCCCTCTGCCCAGGCGGCCCCGCTTCCTTTCTGGGGGGCCCCTCCCCCTGGACGCTTCCTTCTCTCTGTCTCCTGAGTTGTCTCCTCTGCCCTCCTGCTCTGTGCCAGCTCTCCAGGCCCCCGCACCACTAACACTTGAGCGAGCATTTATCTGGTGACTTGGACTCTCTCTCCCCCTCATTAGAAATACACCCTCCCCAAGAGCAGGGCCCTGCTCTCACGATGCCACTGTGTCCCCAAGGCGTGCATGAAGGAGTGACATATGGACTGTTGCTCTGAGGCCCTGCCACCATACGGGAAGTGGCCATAAAGTATCGAGGGGGGAATGTCTTGCAACCCTGGGTCACCCGGGACAAGCAAACCAGGACAGCTCCTAAGGACAGGCATGGCCTGTCACACTGTGGCCACAGAATCCCACATCAGGGCTTTTACTCCCCGGAGAAACCAGCACATATGCAAAATGCGCTTATTAACAGCAGCCTTTTATTGACTAGAGAAACCATCCCAGCGGCCCTCCAAAAGGAGACTGATTAAACAGACTAGGGCCTGTGTCTTCAGGGACTACTACACAGCCATGAACAAGAGCGAGGAGGGCTCTCTTCTGCATGGACAGAGCTCCAGGAGACAATACTGAGGGAAAAAAAAAAAAAAATGCAACTGGGAGCATCTGTGACTACGTCATCATTTATGGTAAGAAAGGGAGAAATGTGATTCTGGAAAGTCCTTTTTGCTTTTATGGGCAGAAAGAAACTCAGGCAGGACTAACAGTGCTGCCCTGTGGGTGGGGAGGGAAGCGGCAGATGAGGGCGCCTCACTTTTTTTTTTTTGCTAAGGAAGATCAGCCCTGAGCTAACATCCACGCCAATCCTCTTTTTGCTGAGGAAGACTGGCCCTGGGCTAACATCCGTGCCCATCTTCCTCCACTTTATATGGGACGCTGCCACAGCATGGCTTGATAAGCAATGCGTTGGTGCGTGCCCAGGATCCGAACCTGCGAACCTCAGGCCACCAAAGTGGAGCGCACACACTTAACTGCAGTGCCACCGGGCTGGCCCCCACTGTTCACTTCTTAATACTGGTTTTGTTTATAAACTCTGTGAATATATTACCAAAGGAAAAAAAGAGCAATAGAAAAACAATGAAATCCCGGAATTGCTGGCATTTGATACGTGCTGTATTTCACGCAGCATATACTCTGAGCACCCAGCAGACATCCGCCTGAGGGGGCAGGGATGGTGAAGATTTCCAACTGATGGACAAGGAGAGGGAGGCTCAGAGAGGCTGAGCTCCTGGCCCAGGGCCACCTGGTCAGAATAATCATAATAGTGATGATAATAATAGTAGTACTGGCACCAACATACTGAACACCCACTCTTCAGCAGGCCCTGAATTCAATGTGGATTGAACCCATTTTGCTAAAACAAGAGCTGTTCTGGACCAAGGCCGGCACCCTCGTGGATGGCAGCTATTGTGCAGTGCGCAGCCTGTGCAACTGCACAAAACTCTAGCCATACCTGATTCAGGGTCTTCTGCAGGTGTGGGGTGCCCATGCGGTCAGCCATGTGCCGGTAGGCCGGGTGGGAGAGGAAGAACTTCCTCTCGGCCGCCAGCGCCGCACGGATGTCCTTCTTGCCCTCAATGTCCTTCTGGCTGCGGTTCACCACGCCAATGTAGCCTGTGGGGAGAGAGGCTCAGGACGGGCCAGTGCCAGGAGAGCCAAGGTGCCCAAGCGCCCACTGCGGACCAGGCACAGGGCTGGGCAAGGTGCAGGCATGGACGTGGACCTGGCCCCACAGACTGGGTCACGAGGGGTACACATTACTCAGAAACAGCAGAGGGGATGCAAACGCAGAGTGCCGAGCTGAAGAACAACGTAAAGGTCTGGAAAAAGGAGAGATCATCCAGCCCGGTGTGAACAGGGGACAGAGCAAAGCTTTGGGGAAGATGAAATCCAAACACGGAACTTTAAAGAAGGGTAAGAAAAAATCTCGAAAGGCAGGGCAACAAGGGACAGCTACTCTTGCCGGACACTGAAGCCTACTATAAAGCCCTTATATTTGAAAAGGTCGGGTATCCTGGGGCATGGAGGTCCAGGGAGACGAAGGGAACAGAATGGAGAGTCCAACACCTCGCCCACCAGCAGGTGGGAACTTCTGGTTAACACTCCAAATTCAGCGGGAGGAAAGCTGGATTATTCCACGGTCGCTGCTGGCAGCGCAATGAAGGCAGCGCAATGAAGACGGATACCTCCCAAATCCACTCTCGAGGGATCGCAGGTTTACACATAAAGCATGACACTACAGAAGTACTTGAAGGAAACCGGGTGTGTGTGTGTGTGTGTGTGTGTGTGTGTGTGTTGTGTGTGTGTGTGTGTGTGTGTGTGTGAGAGAGAGAGAGAGAGAGAGAGAGAGAGAGAGAGAGAGAGAGAGAGAGCGAGAGAGAGAGAGAGAGAGCGGAAGATCAGCCCTGAGCTAACATCCACGCCAATCCTCTTTTTGCTGAGGAAGACTGGCCCTGGGCTAACATCTGTGCCCAACTTCCTCCACTTTATATGGGACGCCACCGCAGCATGGCTTGCCAAGCAGTGTGTCGGTGCGCGCCCAGGATCCGAACCTGCGAAGCCCAGGCCGCCAATGCGGAGCGCGGGCACTTAACCACTACACTACTGGGCCGGCCCCCTGGGTAAGTTTTAAAAATGATTCTAGTTGTGTTAAATTTTTCTGAATGAAATGCAAGGAGCAGTTAACTGTGAAGACATATGAGAAATGGGGCTTGGGAGACAGCCTCCTAATTGACAGCCTCTGGTCAAATTCTGAAATTTCTTTTAAACACGCAAAACTATTTTTAGGATAAAAATGCTAGTTCGAAGAAAAAACCTGCAATATTTGGCCATATAGGAAATGGGAGAGGAGAAGGGTAGGGAGGTGGCGTTCAAAAAGCCAGTAGAGCCAGGAGCCCCCGAGCGTGGACACGAGGCACCCAGCAGTACGGGTGTAGGGATGGGTGCTGTGGGAATAAGAACTCAGCCTAGTGGCCGGCACGTGGCAGGTGCTCCGTAAATAGATGTGGTTGTTGTTATTCATTGTTATTCACATAATTAGCACCCGCCTGCCCTTTATCCTGCCAACTCTTGTGCTGAGGCGATTACTTTTCATCCACTTCAAATCTGTCATTATGTCCATTTTACAGATGAGGGAACCAAGGCATGTCATTTACCCAAGGTCACAGAGAGGATTCATAGGAGAACCAAGATCTGGACCCAGATCTGTGTGGATCTCAAAGTCACTATCACCCATACCACAGGGAGCAGAAGGGAACAGCAGGGGCAGAGAGAGGCGGCTGGCTTGGTTTTGGGATCCTTTAAAGGTGCAAGAGTTTGTGTCTTTTGCAAACAAAGAAAAAGGATCCAGCTGGAGGGATTCTGAAAGTCACAGGGCGAGAGGAGAAAACCGAGGAAGAGTCTGAGGTCCTAAGTGGGGAGTAAGCGTACAAGAGAGGAAGAGTCGACTTTCTTGGAGACAGACAGGAAGGCAGAGGAGGGGAGATGGGGATAAGCGAGTGGGGAGAAAGGCAGCTGGGGAGGTCCATGGCATCCGGCCACTCGGGCAGCAATGCTGAGCCCAGCGCTTGTCCCTCGGGGTCTAAGATGATGGCCTGAGATACGTACGAGGGAGCACAGGGTCAGGGAGGCTGATGCAGGGCTCGGGGACAGGAGGGGTCTGCTCCCCTCTCCAGCACTGACCCTTCCTTCTTAAACCTCTGACACGGATTCGCCCTTCAGCCCCTAACCCTCACAGCCACACGGCTTTTGGGGTTTTGCCCCTGAGGACGCATCTCTCCTGATCCAGGGCCACCTCTCACCACACGATGGCTCAGCAGCGCTGGGGGAAGGTGGTATCCAAGGTCTGAATGTTGTCCCCACAGTTATCCCAGACCAGACATTGATGAGGGAACCCCAAGGAGCAAAAGAAAAGATCAAAATGGTGCTGGCAAAGTGTGAGGGCCAGAAGGTGCCCACAGCTGAGAGCTGATCCCAGAGGGAAGGGATGGGGAAGAACAGGGAAGCAATTAGCAAAGAAATGGCCTGAAAAAAAATTAAAAAATTAAAACCTAGATGGATATCCAACACGGCACCACAGTAAAAAACGGGAACCAACCTAAGTGTCCAACAAATGGGGATTGAGTAATGGCCCATGCAACCCCATATAAGGGATTCCACAGGACCTTCTGAAGTCATCTTGAAGAATATTTACCCATCAGGGGGCAATGTTCTGATATTCTGCTCAGTGAAACGGAAAACCAGGTCAGAAAGCAGCACGGGGCTGGAGAGCTGGTGTGCAAAACCAGTTCTGCCACTCGTGAGCTCTGCGAGCTGCGGCAAGGGATTCAGCCTCTCTGCGTCTCAGTTTCTTCATCCACCAAATGGGGATAAGAAGAGAGCCACCGGCTTGGATTGTGATCAGGATTAAATGGGCTCTCACACATCAGGAGCACAGAACAGTGTCTGGCACATTATAGACACTTACTAAATGTTTGCTATTCTCATTTTTTGAAAATGAAAACATTTAGGCTTCTCTTGTCAGAAGATCTGAGCCTTAACCGGAGCCTGAGCCTAATCAGGCCTCTGTCTAGATCTAATGATCAGTCTACAGGGAACTACAACTGGCCAAATCCTGAATGTGAACATGATCTGGTTTCTTCCAGAAATAAATGGTACAGAAAAAAAACAGAGGAGTGGGAAGGCGAGCTGTCTGAATAGAAACTTAGGAGTCGGACACGAGGCCAAGGATTTCTCTATAATCCCCCACGAAGAAAACACCACCAGGAGGAGAGCTCATGCGGGGGATTCAAGATCAGCCGTGTGTCGATAACCACTGAGGCTGGGTCCATGAGGGCCGCTCGCAATGCCCTCTCTACTTTCCAGAACGTTTGAAAATGTTCATAATAGAAAGCAAGTAGGAAAATCAACAAAGGTTACAAATCCTGGGGAACTCTTTAGAAGGGGGGCCACAAAGTATTAAGTAGTGGCTCTCAGGGGGAAGCTGGGCTGTGGCTGATTCTGGTTTCTTCTTTCTATACATTTGTTTTCTGATGGTCCAAACACGAGCAGGTGTGAACTGTGTAACTGAAAACTGAATGTGTGCACATCAGCAGAAAACGATACATATGTTCCCTCAGGAAAACACAAGTGAGCAGGGTTTAGGGTGGCACAGGAAAGCAGTCACTTCGGGGCAGCGGGGAAACAGGTGACGGTCAATGTATGGGAACATCTGCCAGGATTTCAGTAATGATAAAACAAAAACAAAGAGTCTTTTCAAAATGTGCCGCTCAGCCCCACCCATCTTTCCTGCCCTCCCTGGCCCTGTGCCCCCCCAGGTCTCCCCTCCCTGTGCTAGGACCCCAGCCCCCCCGCTCCCGTGGCCTCCCGGCCGCCCCGCCCTGTGGCCCCACGCGCCCCCCGGCCGCACCTCTCCTCAAGGGGAGCAGCTTGTTTTCCAGGATGTCCCTGGCATCGGTGCCCTCATCCATCAGGTCCAGCTTGGTGATGACGCCGATGGTCCGCAGGCCTGAAAGAGCCCAGAGGTCAGAGGGCACCAGGAGGAAGGAGCATGGGCTGGCCCCCTCCGGCCACCTGGGGTCCAACTGGGACCCTACTTCCAGGTCGTGTGGCCTGGGACAAGCCATAGCGTCACCTGCCTGGACCCCAGTTTCCCTCACGTCAAATGAAGACATAACCGCACAATCTCAGGGGGCTGTCCACGAGGATAAGCCTGTGCGTGACAAACGTTCAATCAACAAACGCTGGCCACTGTCACTGTCACTTGTATATCCTCAAGAGCAGCCCGCCGCTGCAACAGCAGGGGAAAACCCCATGGAAACTGGAATCCCAGGTCAGAGGCTCCGTGCTGCGCTCTCTGAGCCGCATGCGCAGTCCCAACGTAACATTCAAACCAGCGGCGACTGTTTCTAGAATTACCTTTCACCTAAATGGCCAAAACTCCACTCTGGAAACCACCCCATCGAATTCCTCCTCTCCCCAGTCACTGAGAACCAAAGGAACCCCCCCAGCAAAGCGTGTGTGCGTGTGTGTGTGTGTGTGTGTGTGTGTGTGACATACAGGGGACAGAGAGAAGTGTGAGAGTGTGAGCTGGCATCACCTTTTCGGAGGGCAAAGGAGCCACAGCTGTGAATACCCACAGAGCTGGTGCGGGGCAGGGAGGGGAGAGGCGGAGGGGCAGAGGGGCGTGACTGGGGAGGGGGTCTGGGGGCGTGGACTCTATTGGGAATGTCCCATCTCACTGGAGCATGGTTTCTGAAAGACCAGAAACAACCCAACCGTTCAAGAACAAAGACAAAGCAACACGGGCCGCCTGGCGGACGGCTACGCACCTATGTCCCCGCGGTAAGAGGAAAACACACACGCGTTACAGGAAAATAAAAAAAGATCACCCCGTTTTTGAAAATGTGAACTCCGAAAAAATATTTGCTGAGAGTGGCCACGACGACCTCTGCAGGGGAAGAGAGGCTAGTACTTTTTAGGTTCTATATTTTACAATGGTGACATTGTAAAAGGAATACTTTCGAAGGCAAAAAAATATTTTTTTTAAGGAAGAATGCCAGCATCAAGCTCACGAATGATGCTTAATCGTATTCATTCAGATTTTCTCACTGCCTGATCAAGCCTCTGCCGTGTCTTTGTCACAGTCGCACCCCATTCTGTGGGACCAGACCAGGGGGACAGGGAGGCTGTGGGGGGCTGTGGGCAGGGAGGCTGTGGGGGGCTGTGGGCAGGGCCGGCCCCTCCCGGGAAAGTGCACCTGGGATGACCTTGGGGGGAGCTGGCACGGCCTATCCACCACGGGATAGGATGGTCAGCGCTCAGCCCTGGACTCTGCGGAGCTCGCAGTCCAGTGTGGGGACCGCCCTCCGGGCCTGACCCGGGGCTGGCAATGGGGAGCGTGAGCCACAGAGCCTGTCTCCCCCAGCTCCTTACTGGTCCCCACCCCCTCCAAACCACTGTGGAATCAGGCAGTCGGAATGCACTTTGCAAAACGTATTCCTGTGTGTGTCACACTCCACTAAAACTCCACAGCTCTCAGAGCATGCCCAGCCCCACGGCAGCCCACCAGGCCCGATGCACCAGCCTCGGCCCCTCTGTCTTCCCTTTGGCTCACTCTGCTCTAGCCACGCCACACTGGCCTCCTCGCTGTGTCTTGGGCACCCCAGGCTCAAATCCCACCAGCCTACTTAGCATCCACTGTCCATTTTCCTGGACTTTGGCTCTTTCCATCATCCTGATCTTGCCTAAAACCTCACATCGGCCCTGGACCCCCTCTTACCCCAGTCACCCTCAAAGGGTTCTGTTTCCTTCCAGCACTCACCTCTACCTGAAATTATCCCACTTGCTTATTTCCTTGTTGGATTCTGTCTCCCCCACTGGAATATCAGCTCCCCAGTGCAGGGACTCTGTCAGGTTTGTCCCCCGCAGGGTTCCCAAGGCCAAAACAGAGGCTGGCACGCAGCAGGTGCTTAACTGACATTTGCTGAATAAACAGCCACTGGAAAAGTTTTACCCAGAATGCCCTGAGCCAAAGACGCCACAGTCTCCACCACTCCCTATTGCCCCAACTCGCTTCATTAACTTGTCACTCTCCCCACTTCCCTGCCTGGCCCCTGAGCAGTTACGGAGATATCCCCAGTCCTCTCAACAGCTCTACAGGCTGGGATTGCTGCTCCTGTTTCAACAGACGGGGGACCAAGCCTTGGGGAGGGTGAGTAACTTCCAGAGGCAGGATTTGGACTCACATCTGTGCCCTAGGAGGGCTGGGCTCTTCCCACTCCCCCAGACTAGCTTCCTGAGCGGGCAAAGTGGGGGCCGTCGTGTCCAAGGAGGAATGCCCAACACCCCACAACGGCCCCCGGAGCACGCCCTCCTGCACGGCCGGCCCTCAAGGCAAAGCTGTGTCCCAGAGAGGCCACAGGAACACCCCTGACTTGGCATCAAGGATGCCGGGCAAGCTGCAACGCTCTGAGGCGCCTGCAAGAGAGCGCTGTGGGGCCTGGTGGTTACCTTGGGGGTCGACCTCCTTGGCCAGCTTGAGGGCGTCCGAGTTGGCCAGGTCCATGTTGGCGGGGGTGACGGCGAGGATGAGGCTGCTCTCCCGGCTGATGAACTGCAGGATCATGTCCTTGATCTGGTACTCGATGTCTGGGGGCTGGTCCCCCACAGGCACCTTGGTGATGCCCGGGAGGTCAATGAGGGTCAGGTTCAACACTGGGAGGGAAACAAGAAGGAAAGGTCGGCAGAGCCCTCGGGAGTGGAGGGGAGGCATGTGCCTCTGCAGACTGCACCGCTCTAAATGGCTAAGAAATTTCAGCCCATCCATTCAGCCAGTACCAAGAAACCACTAAAAACTTTTTAAGAAGATGATACTCTCATAGGAAACATACTCTGAGATGCGTTCATACAAAGAGACACAAACAATTTTTATATTATGCTACAATTTGAGTAAAAGTGGTGAAACACACATCCCTGATATACACATGTATATATTCATAATTGCTTACACATGCATTATACATCACTTGGAGAACACGAAATATACTTGCAATATTGGGAGCCAGGGAGGGGTTCTGCTGTAGGCTCTTTCGTAATTTTTTAATATGAGCCATGGATAGGCATCATTTATTCAAAAATTAATTTTAAAACTCATTACAAGGAAGCCATATTGAAGAGTTAGAGTCGCCTGGAATATTCCCCCAGTGCTGTCTGAGTGAGCAATTGTGCCTCTAGGCCAGAGGCTGTACACGGCCGCAGGCTGCTGCTCTGTTTAAATGATGTGGTTTTAAAATCAGATCATTTTTCGGGGCCGGCCCCGTGGCGCAAGCGGTGAAGTGCGCACGCTCCGCTGCGGCGGCCCGGGGTTTGCCGGTTTGGATCCCGGGCGGGCACCGACGCAGTGCTTGGCAGGCCATGCTGTGGCGGCGTCCCACATACAGTGGAGGAAGATGGGCATGGATGTTAGCCCAGGGCCAGTGTTCCTCAGCAAAAAAAAAAAAAGAGAAATATTGGCAGATGTTAGCTCAGGGCTGATCTTCCTCACAAAAAAAAAAAAAAAAAAAAATCAGGTCATTTTGCAGAGAAGTCTGGCTTTCTGGCTCCTCCCGGGGAACTGGCAGACCTGGCTGTCTTGGGCTACTGTCACTATGGCCACCATCACCTGGGAGCCAAGTGGTGGCTGCCCTCTGCAAAGGAGCATAGAGCTGCAGTTTGCCCCAGTCCCCAACACTCCCAACAGTCTTCCTGGTAGGCTGTTACTCTTTGTGAGAGGGAGGCCGACCCGACCCGTGACTGGCCCAGTCAGCTTTCCTCTGCCCCGTATGTGACGGGTCCACGCCTGTGCCACCTACCATGTGGCGAGTAGACCCGCAGGTTGATGGGCACCGGGGAGATGCCTTTGTTGGTCCCCGTGACCCTGTCGGTCTCCGCTTCGATCTCCTGTCGGACTTCATCAAAGTCTGTAAACTTTTTGGACTTGCAGTGCAAAAACTCGGCATATTCTGAAAAAGGAAGAAAGATGCTCAAAATGAGAAAGAGAAACGGTCTGATAGCGGGTGGAGAGCAGACGGCCTTCAGGGACAGGCGCTTTGTCAAGGAGAGAGCGTGAGGAATCAGCTACAGTCGCTCTAGGAATGTGGGGAGCAACAGAGTGATTCTCGTGACAAGTATTGGGGGGCGCTCCTAAAGACCAAGCCCCATTCCAGACCTCGGGGACTCCACGAGCAAAAAGCGGGCGAAGATCCTGTCCCCGTGGAACGGACGTTCCCCTGAAGCATTTGGCAAAACAACATGTCATGACGTATTATGAGCCAAAAAAGAAATCAACAGGTGGGTGTGATGAGCGTTTATTCTTTTTTTTTTTTTTTTGATGAACAAGATACAAGAGGAAATATCAACATCCGTCACCCAGAGCGCGGGTGGTTATGTTTGATGGAGCTTCTGCTCCAGTGTTACACTGTGTCGTGGGTCGTAACGTAGAACCTCCCTCGCTGCGGGTCACGGTCAAAAGACACAAGCCGCTGTCCGAGTGGACCTGGAGCCGCCACGCTCTCCAGCTCGGCGAGACCCCCGGGTGCGTATCCGTGGGCCTCATTCATTGTTTTCCCCAAGGCGCCTCACAGTATGGGGAGCAGCGGCCACTGCCGGCCTCACCCAAGCCCAGCTCGCTGTCCCCCCTCCCCTCCTGGCTACTCTAGAGGCCCCCACCTAGACGTGAACCCCTCAGGAGAAACACTTTCTGGGCAAGGTCTCGAGTGGACGTAAGAGGCCTCGTCACGCCTTCTGAGCCCGCAGTGTCTGAAAGGCACATTGATGCTGAGATGAAAGGAACCAAAAAACTGACTGACGAGGCAGGGCTGGTCCTGTCACTGAGCCGGAGAGACTCAAAGCACAGGTGGGGATAAAGCAAGAACAAGGAACGTTCACCGAGGGACACAGGCAGTGAGCGTACAATTCCTCAACTTTTCCCTATGTTTGAATTTTCATAGTCAATGCTGAGAGGGGGGACCTTCTAGGCTCAGAGACCACGGCTCCTGCAGTGATGCTAAAAGAAGAGGGAAGTCAGTCACGCTGGCAAACAGCCCAAAGAACTGGACCACCGCAGGGACGCAAAGACGTGCACGGCTGTGCTGTTTCTAAGAGTTGAAAACTGGAAATCGCCTCCACGTCTACCAGCAGGAGACCTGGCTACCTAAACTACAGCACAGACACACCATCAGCTGCCTCAAAAGAAAGGATGGAGATGCAGATGCTGCCCCACGACACAGAAAACCCAGCAGGTCTAGGATCTCTACCCGGAGGTGTAACGAGACAGAGCGAAATGAGCGCCGAGAGGACTGCCCTCCATCACTGTAATCTAACAAACTATGGCTAACACTCAGCCCGTGCTGGCTCTGCCCAGGCCCTGCGTGCGGTCCCATTTGCTCCTCTCGAGCGAGCACCCTAGCAGCTAGGCATCTCCACGATGCCCATATCACAGATGAAGAGACTGAGGGCCAGAGAGGTGAAGTGACGTGGCCCAAGCTGAGTGGTGGGGCCGGGATATGGAGTTCAGATAACCTGGCTGCAGGTAGTGGCTCTCAAGTCACATGGGCTGTGAGGCCACCAGCAGGCTTGTCACCTCTCTGAACCTCTGCTGCAGGGGCCAGGGGGCTCCGTGGGCCCAGATCACTGAGGACCTAGCCCGGCACGGGCACTGGCCACTCGGGAGCAGGGGCAATGAGGACGCCAGCTGGGGGATCCAGGATCGCCCACGCCACCGCCACCAGCTGAGCCAGCGCCCAAGGACGGTCACGCTCCAGCCCTTCACAGGGACAAGAGGCGGCTGCTCTTCTGCAGCAACCACCAACAATGGGACAGTCCTCCAGCCCCGCGGCAAACCTCAGTTCTCTCCCAGCTCAAGGCCCCGGGCTCAGTGCCCACAAGAGACCACTGCCCTTCCAGGAAGGCAGGGGATGCGAGATGGGACAGCGCCTGGGGACCATGACATGGGATCTCTCCCCTCCAGACCCCCGCCCCACTAAGCCTGGTGCCTGGAAGGCCTGCCCCACCTCCCCCTGCCCGCCTGTCGCCTCTCCCAGGGAGCCCTGCCTGACTCCATGGCACCCGGCACCCCAGCCTGCGTCTTGGGCTCCACCCGTCAGATCCAGGCCACCATGGATGTTATGGGGACCAGGACCTGCCAGCTGGGGCCCCCCCCAGAGCCCAGTGTGCGCTGGCAGCCTCCCGTTTGTGTGGGTGCAGGACATGCAGGAGACAGTGCTGGAAGCCACGGCTTCTTCCCCAGCGGGTCAGTGGGCAGCAGAAACCACACCCTCTGTGCCCAAGAGGAAGGTTCGGGAGCCAGCCAGGCCCATCCCTCACCTCCTGTCTTCTTTACTGGGCTCCTTGCTACTCTGGAACCGTGTGCTATATTCCAGGGTCATTTCAACGTTAAAAAGCTTCCACCAAGCCTGCTTTCTCCCCAAGTACTGACCCACTTAAAGCCAGACCTTGGCCCTCCCCTCCTCAAAATACTCCACGGCTCCCACCTCACCCGAGTAAAAGCCCGAGTCTTCACCACATGCCACAGGGCCTTACAAAGTTTCCTTCCCCCCAACTTCTGACCTCGACTCACGGCCCCCGGCCACGCTGGCTTCCCTGCTCACACTCCAGGCTTGCGCCTGCCTCAGGGCCTTTGCACCAGCTCTTCTCTCTGCCTGCAGACGCCCCCACAGCTCCCTCCTCGCCTCCTTCAGGTGTCACCTTCTCTGTGAGGCCTGTCCTGGCTCTCACCTGACATGACAAATCTCCCCAGTCCCTCTCCTTACCATCCTCGAGCACACTAATATCATTTACCGTGTCACGCTGTGTATTTTCTCTGGTTCCCTGCTAGAAGGGCCGCCCGACAGGGCAGGGATCTGATCTATGCTGTCCACCCATGGGGCTCCTTCTGGGTACACAGTAGGTGCTCAATAATTACGCACACAATTAAATGACTCCCCCCGGAAGACAACATGGTCTCCGCTTCAGCTTCCACGAGGTGGCCCGACTCCAAGGCCACCAAGCTGGCTACGCAGGAGGCTGGACAGGGACCGGGTGTGGCGGGGCCACCCGTCGTCCCCTCCCTCCCTCCCTCCCTCCCTCCCTCCTTCCCACAGCCAGGCTCCCAGTCTGACGGGGACGATGGACAGTGCACACCCGCGTCACAGCAGGGCCACGGGCGCTCAGAAAAGAGCCCCAACACGCCAGAAGCCAGCAGGGACCTCCTGGGGGGCGGCCGGCCTGACGCCAGCCCGCCCAGCCCACGATGACGCAGGCAGGCACGGGGGGGCACACAGCTCGTGCCCGCCATTCCTCTGAAGTGGCGACCATTCCCCATGCCCTGAGGATGCTCTGGACCCAGGGGCGTCTACGCAGGAGGCAGGGGCTTGCCCACCGGCCGGGCTCCCCTGTGCCTCAGCTTCCCCACGAGGAGAATAAAAGGAGAAATGGACGGGAGGGCTCAGCCTGGGGCTCTGCAGCCCTGTATGTACTTGAGTACTGGAGATAATTGTTTTGCTTTTTGGTTTTTTCTGCTGAGCAAGAGCCACCCTGAGCTAACATCTGTTGCCAATCTTCCTCTTTTTGTTTGAGGAAGATCAGCCCTGAGCTGACATCTGTGCCCATCTTCCTCTATTTTGTACGTGGGTCACTGCCATGGCATGGCTGATGAGTGGTGTAGGTCCATGCCTGGAAACCAAACCTGGAAACCTTGGGCCACTGCAGCGGAGCGCACCGAACTTAACCACTAGGCCACGGGGCCTGCCTCGATAATTTTTTAATGATCCACTGTCTCAAAGAATAAATCAGAGGCCTTACGGCTGAGCTCACCACCTGTGACATGTGGAAGGGCTCCCTCTCAGCTGGCCCCCAGCAGCCAAGGCCGAGCCACCGCCCGCTCTGCCTGTCCCAGTTCCCGCTGCAGAGCTGGTCCCTCTGTCCCGGCCCGGCTGCAGTGTTTGCAAACCTTCCCCTCCTCGTGCACAGATAATAAAGCCAGTCCCACAGGTTCCCGGCCCCCGGACAGCCACGCACACACGCCACCCGCCCTGCACTCCAAGCCAGGCAGGCTTCCCTGGGAGGAGGGTCAGGGGGTGTGATCAGGCCCCGGGGCTCCACGGGACCCAGCCCAGGGCCCGGTGCCCAGCAGGAATGAAATAATAGAGCAGGCGCTCGCCCAGTAGTCACGCTGCCAACCCAGGGGAGCCAGCCACCCTTACCCACCACAGTGCGCGCTGCCCGCGTCCTGACCGGGGGTCAGTGAACGCACTTGCAGGGTTTTTCCTAGAAAGAGGTTCTGCCGTCCCTCTAGGACTTGTTCCTCACCTCATTCGGGTCTCGGCTCTAAATGCCCCTCCCCAGGGAAGCTCCCTGACCCCCCGTGACCCCGTGCCCCCACTCCCTCACCCTGCCCCTTCCTCCATGGCACTCATCACACCGATGCACCACATGCTCAGGTGTCCCCTGCTAACACTGGAGCTGCGAGACAACAGAGACGCGGCTCTGGTCCCTGCTCTCCCCGGCACCTGGTGCACAGTAGCTGCTCAGTAAAACTTCATTACTGAGTGACTATTACAAAGCATTAGGGGCTGCAGCCTAGACGGACATCACTCCCCTGACCCCCAAGCGGGTCCCCACTATGGTAAATCCCCCACCTTGGGCGTCCCCCAGGCCCTTCGAGAAGGTGTCCCCAGAGGGAAGGTGACAAGTGCATGCCACCACCTCCTGGGGGTCGGGGCACAAGGAAGCAGCCCCATGACAGAGGCCACGGTCCCCTCAGGTCTACCTTCCCTCAAGGCCTCCTGTTTAAAGGAAACCCACAGCACAGAAGGCAAGGTCCGATCACCCTCCCCACCCCAGAGGCAGACCCGGTCAAGTGCAGCTGGCATTTCTCAAGAACTGTGAAATGGAGGTTCTGCTGGGACAACCTGCCTTCAGCCTGGTCCCTCAGGTCTGGAAAGGGCGAATCAG